ACCTTTAACCTCATACCTTTTATAACAGAATATTTAGTTTATTTTTTTGTGTCATCTTAAGCTAACTAAACTTAAAAACTTTACCATAGAAACATCCTGTATATTGAAATTTGAACCGTTCGGTTACCTTTGCGCTTGGCTTTAGGGTCTTTTTCTTTCATCTGCATAAAATTATCACTTGTCGAGCAGATTGAAATATCCTGTAATATAAAGTTAAAAGTTGCCATTTTAAACGAGGTGTACGTTTTGTCTCTCCTCGCACTTCACGGGATTATCATTAAGTTGCGAATATTAATGATTATTTTGAAATTACTTGTACAAGAAGACTTTACATAATATTATATTGCAATTTTTATAATGTTGCATAATGTTCGCTTCATATCTTATCCTGGTATCATCGTATATTTATTAGTTTTCATGCGGCTTCGCATTTTGCTTTCAAACAACGGCTACGTATATTTGATATTATCGAAACCTTGTTAAAGATACTTTGGATAACAATAATATTCGATTTTAATGTATAAATAGATATATAAAATAATTTTAAAATACTCGTTAAAATACTAGTTAACAATTACTTCTTTCTATAAAAAACTCTTGCCTATGTACTTTTTGTAGTGTTTTTCATTTACATTTACACCCTAGGCATTGATCTCAATCTTTCCATCTTTCTAATTGGTTCTCTTCTGACTTCTTTACACCCAGGTTTAGCCTAGATTTTATAAATCGATCTCCCTTCTATTTGCACACCCAAGTAAACGTGTTTTGAGTTCGTATGCTTGTTGAAATTCTACACTTATCCATTAACAGAAAATACAGAAAATATACACTTTCTGAACAATTTTTCGTCCAGAAAATAACGTTTTGCCGATCAAGACCGGAAAGTAAACGTTGGGGACCAGTAATAGTATATTACATTACGAGTGTGGAAAGTGACATTTTTCACACGAGTGGGAAATATAGTCGCACGAGGCGCAAGCCGAGTGCGACTATCACACGAGTGTGGAAAATCACTTTTCACACAAGTGATGTACAATATTTTTCCTACGACCACAAAATAATGTCATCAAAAAAATGTAAAACCAAGGTTATTATTACTATAATAATTAAAATGTATTTAAAAAAATAATCAACAATAATCGTATTTATTCAATTTTCATATTTTCTAAACAAAAAAAACTAAAAAAAATAAAAAAAAAATAAAAAAAAATAAAAAAAAACAAAAAAAAAAAATTCTGCCCCGACAGGATTTGAACCATAGATTGAACGCGGTCGAAAAATGGCAAAATTGATAAGTTCGACGTCCTAACCAGCTGAGCTAACAGCCCTTGTGTCAATTGAATTATCTAATCGGTTATGTATTTAACCAAAATAAAGAGCAAACATTATTTTAAAATTATTTTAATAATAATTGTTAAAGATAAATATCTAGGATCTAATTTACAACAATTTCAATAATTTAACAATCATATCGATTTTAGTATTAATATGGATATTACATAGATCAAAATAGAAATTAGCTTACAAAATAATATCAAAAAAATGTAAAACCAAGGTTATTATTACTATATTAATTAAAATGTATTTAAAAAAATAATCAACAATAATCGTATTTATTCAATTTTCATATTTTCTAAACAAAAAAAACTAATAAAAAATAAAAAAAAAAAACAAAAAAAAAATTCGGCTCCGCCAGGATTTGAACCATAGATTGAACGCGGTCAAAAAATGGCAAAGTTGATAAGTTCGACGTCTAAACCAACTGAGCTAATGGGCCTTACGTCAATTGAATGATCTAATCGGTTATGTATTTACCCAAATTAAAGAGCAAACATAATCTTAGTTATTTTAAAATTATTTTAATAATAATTGTTAAAGATAAATATCTAGGATCTAATTTAAAACAATTTCAATAATTTAACAATCATATCGATTTTAGTATTAATATGGACATTACATAGATCAAAATAGAAATTAGGCGTTTGACATTTTTTGACAACTACTGCGGAAAGTAACATATTCTCACTTGGGTGGAAAGTAAATTCTTAGTCATACGCGTGTGATATAGGACACTTTCCATAGGACTATATAGTGTGATATGTGTCACTTTCCTAAGTGGTCGTAGGAAAAAGCTTTTTTTAAGACCTACCAGAAAGTAACAATTTTTCGTCCAGAAAGTAACGTTTTACCGATCAAGACCGGAAAGTAGATGTTAGGGACCGGTAAAAGCTTTACCGGTCCCTCTTTTTCATTTTTCCGATCGCTGTTTGATAAATTTGATAAATTGATTTCGTTACTATGGTAACAACGTTCCGATTTATTGCCAAGTGACAGTTCGTTGATTTTTAATTTGTTGTTTATACCAAACTTGTTTTCGCAAATTTAAAAATAGGGATTCAGATTTTGAATTATCTGACATGGAAAATGAAAATTTGGTTAGTTTATGCAGTTGTATCCATTATCTAATTTTAGTATACAGTATGTCCCCTAAGTTGGAATCATATGAAAAACTTTATTATTAATTTTAGGAAAAAAAAAGTTATTCTTCATAAAAAGTTCTGCATTATCTAAAACCTAGAATACATTCATCAAATATCAAATTTTTTCAGTGGTATACGAGGTTTGTCAAAAAATATGAGTTTTACTCAAGAGTAAAGTACCTTTATTCTTTATACGACTGATAAAATTTGATATCTGATGGTTGTATTTTAGGTTTTAGACCATGCTTGACTTTTTATAAAGAATAACTTTTTTCCCAATATTAATAATAAAAAAGATTTTCATATGCCGCCAATTTACGTAAACAGTTGGTGGCATAGGAAAGATTTTTTATTACTAATTTTAGGAAAAAAAGTTGTTCTTTATAAAAAGTCGAGCATGGTCTAAAACCTAAAATACAACCATCAAATATCAAATTTTATCAGTCGTATAAAGAATAAAGGTACTTTACTCTTGAGTAAAACTCATATTTTTTGACAAACCTCGTATACCACTGAAAAAATTTGATATTTGATGACTGTATTCTAGGTTTTAGATAATGCAGAACTTTTTATGAAGAATATTTTTTTTTTCTAAAATTAATAATAAAAAAGTTTTTCACACCATTCCAACTTAGGGGGACTGTATATTAATCAGTTAATTAAATAAAAAAATAATTGAGTTTACATCGAAGTGTCGGTCTAAAAAATAAATATTGGTGGTTACGTTTCCGAAAATTAGTGTTAAGCAGGTTTCTCCAAGCTTCCAGGTCTCGCCTACGGCTCTCCTGAAATATGCTTGTCTCGACCTGCAAAACACTACTTTCCGGTCTTGTAACGTAAATTACTATTTCATCCGTGTTTCATACATTATTTTTTTATTCGAATGGTCTTTTAGATATTAAAAAATACAGAAAATATTCTAGTATCATGGGTAGGGATATTCTTGATAACAATTGAACAATTCCTGTCATGCTTATGTCAAATCGATTTAATTATAGTTTATTTAGTTTTTCTCTTATTCAATTAAAAATGCTTGTATTCTAATTTGATGTACTTGTTTAAGATGGACTACTATTTTACAATACCAAAAAAAATTAAGCAAAAAAATCAACAAAGGTAAACTGAAAATAAAACGGAATGTTTAGGTAGCTTTACTTTTGCGGTCTAGTCCTTCTATCATCTATCATAGAAATATATTATATAAAAACCAACAATTTTTTCAAATTTAACAAAATAGGAAGTTTATTGGTTAGATTAGTAAACAATACATAAATATTGTGACAATAATTGGGTCTAACTGAATTTCTTATCGAAATATAATTAATATATAATAATAATTATGGATCACAAAAGTATCCAAATAACATATAATCTTTGAATTCTTGATTGTTTCGGCCTTTACTTGATAAAAATCCATATTATTAAAATGAGAAAAATCAAACATGGTAGATTTTCACAAACCCTTTTATTTTACAAAAAAATAAAAAATTACAGACAATTGATTTGAAGTACAACTCGATGTGTCGTGACCTTTGATTCATCTTAGACCACGTTGTTGATGGTTACTTCGTAACCGTGAACAAATTCGTGGTCTGTTCAGGGTGAGTAGTGCTTGTCTACTATCTGTATAGATGATATAAATATCAAGGAGAGTGAGACTAAGAATGACTTCCATGACCCTGGTCAGTGTTGTTTTCATGACTCCTGTTATGTTGAGATATGCTGTTATTTGAATTTGTTCTAGTTTACGGATAGCTCTTTTTTGGGTTTTCGGTACCCAGACAACTGCACCGTATGTTAGCATAGGTCTTATGATAGCAGTGTAAGGAGTTCTGGAGGTTTTAATTCCATTTTCATCCTTTTCAAAAGGACCATTTCAGTCTTCTTAGGATTGATAGACAGTAAATGGTCCTTACACCACTGTTCTACAATTTTAAGAGCTACTGATTTGTTAAACTGAATTCAGTCGAATAAGCCGGTGACAGATTTTGTGAAGCCGAAAGGGTAGCCCAATAATGCTGGTGCTAGGTGCTGGATGATAAGAATCAGTTGGTACAAGTATGGCAGCTGCTTTTCCTACTTTACTATTTCTTAGAGAAAACAAGATTTGGTAATCAATTAAAATAATTTCGAACTTCATTCAATTGCACGACAATTACATTAAACGAAAATTATTTAGGGATAACATTTCTAGTTATATTTTACTGCGACTAAAATTTATATAATGCGTATTCTGTAATGTTAAAGTCACCAACAATAATTTATTCATACAATTGACATAATGATTTGAAGTATTGGGTGGAATATACAAATTCAAAATGTACAATACATAAGAAAAGCCGATTATGCCAGTCCTTTTCATCACTATCGAAAACTGCTTCCGATTGTTACTGAAACAACATTTTATAATTGCGAAGCTTTAAATCATTATTAAATAGGTTAACTTGTAATTAATTGGGTTAACTTTATATAGAATATAATACTTTATTCTTCTAAACTTACAGTTATTTTTTCTTACAGTTACGACCCCTTCTCCGCCACCCCGGCCATGGATTCCTCTGGCAAGGCCGTCTACGAATAGACCAACATGTAAGTACAATATTCTTAGAAAAATCTGACAAATTGAAATAAATACTAAGAAAACTGTTATTTATATAGATTGAAATCATCATTTTCTCTACCTCTTACTGTTACGGTTTTTTAGAATTTCTAAGTATTTCACTCAAAGGAAAATTTTATTAGAATTCTAAGAATTGATCATTTATCGTAGCAGCGACTTCGTTAAGGATATTAATTTAGAGAGTAATACAGGACCGTGCCGAACTTCTTAAAAACTTTTGTTTGAAAATGTATTTATTAGTGTTTCTACAGTGCTGGCAAGATCAAAACTTCGGTCTGTTTTACCTGCGATAGAGTGAATATTAAATGGCGTACGTACATGCAGGAAAACAACCGACACATTATGAAATATAGGTACGCTGTCAGTGTATCGCAAATTTATAAATTATGTTTTTTCTGTTTTATTTTGCAGTAGCAATTTTGTCGGTCACAAATTTTAGTGTATTTTATACTTCATTTCAAAATTAAAAAATTAATATTTAAACATAATATATGATAATCAGCATACCATTCATCGTAAAAATTACATATTTAGGCCGTCGGACTTTAAATTTGGCGACCACTATGACCGATAGGGTCATGATGTATTTAAGGGTAATATACCAAGACCTTGAGCTATTTTTGTTGAATCTAAGAGCTGTAGCTCAAGAATGTAATGCCATGTGCTGGGTTTGTTGGCAATGGTATTCTGCTAATGCAGGATAACGCGCGACTACGTACGGAAGGATGGTAACACATTAACTTTGAGGATGTTCATGTTCTAAAAATGGACTGGCCTGCTCAATAGTATTAAAGTCATGATTTGGAGCGATCAGTTTAAAAGGCGTATACCCAGATAACAATTATACATTCTTAGCATATTCTTAGTACATACTTTTTAAGAATAGGCATATGGCTGAAAATATACTTTATTTGCATTTAGTACATTGTCAGAATATACTAAGCATATGTTACGTGACGTTGTTTATACGTGCTATGCAGATAGTGAGAATGTACTTCAAGTATGTGTACAGTATGTGTACAGTATGCAATTAGTATAGTATAGTGAGAATGTACTTCAAGTATGTGTACAGTATGCAATTAGTATCTTCTTTAATTTGATATTACGTTCTAAGTATACGCTAAGTATTTAAATATAGCATATGCTAGGCATATACTAGACACCCCAATACAGGATATTTCATTAATATTGAACATTAAAAAATAAGTGTATATAATCAAAGTCGTGTCCATTTTTTAAATCTTTATTTCAAAAAATTCATACTTATTCTTATTTTTATTACAAATTCTTTCTTTGGCCTTAACCAACCAATATTTTATTGTATCAATGGCTTGAGTTTCATTTACTTGATTCCATTGGATCTTCATTAAACCTAAAAATAAAAAAAAATAAACTTGGTACATCCTATACAAATTAAGTGTACATAGCTAATGGAATGTTTTAAATATTTTTTTCTACACCCGTATTATAATAATGCACTTATATGCCCATAATTCGTTTCATTATGATACAGATTTTTCATAACGATACAGATTTTTAATCAATAGAAACCCATAATTTTTCAATCAAGCATTATGTGCATTTGACGTTTGTCCAAGGTTCCTATGTAATTGTTTTAATTGTCAAAATCAGTACGTATTAAATTTTCGTAGATAGCTTAACTTCGATAATTATATTATCAAAATGTCTGATATCAGCGATATAGAAGACTTACCATCGACTCCTCCACTCATATCGGAGAAAGCAAAAAATGCAGTACAAAATATTTTTCCCCAAAAATCTATGTTAATACCAATAACCGCGTAATACCATTAATTACAATTTTGTAGAATTTTTTTATAGAATTACAGTCATTGTGTTCAATTCAAATATAAATATATTTATAGTTCTTGATTATTTATCGGGTGTAGAAAAAATAGCGTATGCAACTCTCACGTAATGGTTATTAATACACTCGTATAAACCATACAAAACTCGCCTTCGGCTCATTTCGTATCACGGTTAATGATCGTATATTAATAACCATCATTACATGATTGTTGCATAATATACTGTTGTCGAACGTAAAACACTAAAAATTGTACATAGCATTCCAATAATAAAAAAACAAGAGTTACATAAATGATTATTATGTTTAGTGAAGGTTTAAATATATTTTTGTTAATTACTTACCACCATTTTGTAGTTTTCGTCTTCCTTTAGCTAATTTTCTAGTTCTTCCAGGTCAATTTCTGGCCTTTTTTTTTTATAGAAAGCGTGTACCTATTTAATGCTGGTAACACTGTATTTTAGTTTCAATCCGCCATTAGCATTAACCATACTAATAAACTCACACTGGCGATTAATATTTGGGATATCCTGTGTTCTAACATCACTTATAGGTCCTAAAAACTACAAATATAGTAAAATTGTTTATTTTTATATAGAACATACGATGCAATTAATTTTTATTAATTTATTTACCTATTGCAAACTGAAACGAGATCAAAAAAATTTTTAGCAGTTGTAGGTTATATTATTCTTCTTCTCTTCTATTAAGATCGTGATTCTGAATATTTTTTGGCCTGAACACTCAACATTAGTGCTAGCGAATTATCAGATCGGCATCTGGAAAAAATTCATACAGATATGTATATAAACGTGTTTTTACATGTATTTAGTGTTAATTTTTACCTGCAAGCATTTCATCATCTGAATTAGGGCGTGGTTCAAAGCCCACTTGTACTGAAGCTCTAGGCTTATTGTACCCCCCTGCAAGCATTTAGAACATTCTCAGAAAATGAGGTATATGCTGGGTATATGACTTTTAGTATCTTCTAAGAATGTCCTATTATAGCACGTGCTCAGTATATACTTTTTAGAATATACTTTCTAGAATATACTTTCAAAGTATATACTAGGTATGTTCTAAGAACATTCTAGAAAGGACATACTAAAAAGAACATAAACAACGTTCTTAGTGTATTCATAGAACATTGATGTTATGTGGGTAAGATGTCACATACCTGCTCCAACAACACGGAAAGACCTTTAATGGGGAATTAACCTCTTTTCCCCAAGCAGACATTCAGAATGTTCTGCCAAATCGAATGTGGAGTGTCATTTAGATACGCCGTCATTTCTTGCGTCTTTTGTTCAATTATTGTAATGTGAACTGTGTAGTTTTTTTTTCAATAAATTTATGAATTTTCAAATATTTGCTTATTTTTCATTTGTAACTCATGATAACGTCGGATGAAATTTTAAAAGAATTACTGACTACACAATAGATTTATTGCGATAAAAATAAAAATAAAAAGATGGATAATTAGTTAAATTTTTTGGGTGGCCCTTTTTTTTCTGACGCCCGGTGTATTTCATAAATGTTAAGATATTTTTATTACAAGGGCACCACCTTTTTAGGTAAAAATGGAAAATATCAAATAATATCTTTGAAACCATTAATAATAATTATTGGATGACATAATATATGATTATTTTTACATCACCACCATTTGATCCATAACTTATGGGACACCCTGTATTCTGACGGATCCAAAACTGTAATATGTACCAAAATCCTTCACCTATTTAAAATTCAACATAAAATATGGATACACCAACAAATTAAATCAAAATTTAAAGACATTGTAAATAATAATTTTCCCATTGTATCCCAATTCTAAATCTCTACAATTTTATATTAATTGATAATACGAGTAATTTAAGTTGAGTACCTACATCATCCATTTTTCTCGAATAAATGGCTTTTTCGGATGAGGAGAGAAAACCTAATTTTCCACAGACTATTTTATAATGTTAAAGGGACATTGCGGCCCTGTTATTCTCGTTCTTTTGACCCATGTTTTAAAAGAAAAGGCTTCAAAGAACATCACAGAGAAAAATGTATTTGAACTTCTCAAAAAAATATATGATCTTTTATTACATTTTTTCTTTGATCTTATTATCGATTTCAAAAAGTTGGCCAAATTTTACAAATAATGATAAAAAGATTTAATTTTTAATTAGTTATAACAACGCATTAAAATTTTAAATCATATTTACGTAAAAACAATCAATAAAGGTTTTTACTTCTCTACTTGTTCGTTTCATTAGGGTTTTAGAAGCAAATTAGTATTAATACTTATTTATGTATCAAGGGCTTTAAAACAGGCGTTTATGGACCACAACGTGTAAGGACTATTAACAGGTAAGGTCCATAAACGCTATGTTTACGTCCGAAATACATACAACATTTTATGTACGATCCTTTTAATGATAATTTATTAACAAACATATAAAATTGTATGTACGACCGTTTTAATGATCGTTTATTAATAAATAATTATTATTTTATCTTTTTCGCCTTCTGTGAGCAGGTTATTATAAAAGAAATTTACTTTATCGCCCGGCGGTAATCTGGACTTTATTGCCCGGTCGTGCATAAAATACTATTATTATTAACTATGTTCTCTCATAAATAGCCAATAGTTGAATCTGCCGTCGAAAAACATGATTAATTTTCAATACAAAAGATTCAAAATGCATTAACAAACTTTTAGGTATCGAAAAATTTGCCAAATGAAAAGTTTGACATTTAAAATTGATGAATTTTCTGGACGGCGATTTCAGCTTCCAGAATAAAAATGTAAAATATATATGTATCTCTAAGATGGGGGAGAGTGTATTGCCTCCACAACTCTTATGCTTCACTAGAACCACTGTGTGTCCTTCAGAGGCATTTAGGACCTTCCTCTCAGCTCGTTAAAACCCTGCTGGTTTTCGCCAAAAGAAGTCTGCTACTGATTTCGGCTTAATTGGGTCATCATAGGTTGGCTTTATTAGTTGATCGTTGCATCATACGTCATTGATTACTTTACGTCAAGATGTTCAACGATGCAGACTACTGAATCTACGATGAGAAGATACTTAAAAGAAAAACAAATGCTGGGTGTAATATGAAAAATCAAACTTAGGAGTTGTTTCTTGGAGGGTAGTAGATTTGGTTGCGTCAGATAAAAGATTTTATTTAATTAAGTATATCATATTTTTCAAAATTTTATTTAGTCATCGACTTGCATTGGCGGCTTGTGTGTAAGGGCTGTAGGGCTATTTATAACTTTCATACGGTTCCTTTTGTTTCGGTTGTCCAATCATTTGGCAGTCTGTCCCTGGCGTTTAATATATTTTCAGTTACTCGTGACTTATTCACTGACGTTGCTGGCTGACTGCAATACTGCAAACAAAAATGGGCTAAAACGTGTGTAGCACTCAATTCAAGTGCTGGGGCGGCAGATCGAACGACGTCGGTTTCACTCGGAGGTCTGTTCTAAAAGACAAGCATTCTTTGAATGTAATATGAAATTATTATTTTCTCCTTTTTATGTTCTAATAGAACTATATTTGTATTATATAGGGTGTATCTAATATTAATCCAGGAAGTTTTAATAGTAAGCCGACGCCTTACTATTGCGTATGAAAAAAAAATCTGAGACGCTCGATAGGTACTGAAAATTATATTTAATTTGAAGTTTTCATCCACGTAAAAGTCCTTGAGATTATTAAAAATTCATTCATCTGTTCTGTGTAATGTAAATGTAAATGTAAAATTGGAGAACCCCTTGTTTAAGTTAAATGCAAAATAGACGTTCTATGGTTTTAAATGTCAGAACAAAACAAAACAAATTCACATTGTTGTCATATCTTGATTCGCCTGTATATATCTCAGTTGTGCCACTGTAGATAGCTGTTTTTGTAAATCATGAAAAAAATTTCAAAATTAAAACATGATATTTCTAAACTTCCACATGATTGTCAAAATTCTAACATCTACCATCCTGTAGGTGCATACCTACTGAACAGAGTGAAAAATGTGGAAATATTAGCATCATTGATTTTGTAAAGAGATCCTGAATGTTTATATATTTATTTTTAGGTTAGTTATACATTTCAGGAATCTTCGTCTGTCCGGTTTTCATTAACTTTTTTTAACAGCGCATTTATCTGTTTTGGATAATTTCCTTTCGTTTGGAGATAATCCTAATTTTCCGACGAATTTTTCGAAATAACTAAAAATTCGCGTACACTACTTGAAGTTCCTCACAGTCTGGCATTGAAATTTTCCCGATTTCTAAAACACATTTACCCTGGAATATTAGGGGAAATTTTGGGTCGAACGCTTTTCCGGGAAAAACTGTTGATGTCTCACATAACATGATTTTTATGACAGAGGGAGGGGGAAAATATACGAAACCGTGAAAATGTTTGGCTTTTTTATTTAAGAAAAATTTAAAATAAATGCCTTTTTAAAATTTCTCTATCGAATGGTATCGGAAAATCTACGGTAAAGTGCTTTTCCACCAAAACTGTTTTATGACAGGGGGAGGGAGAATTAAACAAAAAAAAAACAATGAAACTTTTGGTTTTTTTTTTAGTAATTTATGAATAATTAAAAATAAAAGCGTTTTTTTTCTATTGGATGGTGTTGGAAAATTTGAAATTATCATATGATAAAATCTTCTGCCGATTTTTAAATCGAACCAAAAGTAGCATAGCCTAAACCTTTTACGATATTATCCGTACGCCACTGGAAAAGAGAAATTAACCCAAAGACGTCACAACCATTTCTGAGAATTTAGTGCCTACCATTTTGATATTTTAGTATAGTTAAATGCTAGACAACAGTGTAAAGTTATTCTAAAAAATTTGTAACGGTTGGAACCGTTTTCGTTATTTTGACACCAACATCTCTACATTTCTATACATTTGTCGTTTGTGCCTTGCGTCAAGAGTTCCTATTTCATTTTGATTTGATCTGTCAACGAATCAGTTGATATTAAATTTTAAATTATCTAGGTCATCCGATGTATTAAATCATTTTTATCTATCGTATAGGCCGTCTGATTTTGTAAGCCTGGCTATATCTAGACGGTTCTATAGGAGTTATATATAAAGAGGTTCTGTAGGAGTTATATCTAAAGAGGTTCTGTATGAGTTATATTTAAAGAAGTTAATTTCGAGTTATATCTAAAGAAGTTCATTTCGAGTCATCCCTAAGAAGTTTAATTCAAGATATATCTAAAACTGTTTATGGGATTTCTATCAAGAAGTTTATTTCAAGTTAAATTAAGAGGTTTAGTTTAAGTTACATCTAAAGAAGTTTATGAGATTTAAGTTTATGAAGATTAATACCTAAGAGTTTGGTGCTATCCGAAGAACTTCGTTAAATTCCCTTTGAAGAAGGCCTATACAAATATCTCCTTGAATACTACCTCCTGTTACAACAGATAAGTCTTTTTGAATAAATCATCTAAATTTGAATAAGTAAATCTCTGTGAATGAGAATTTGTTACTGCCTTATCTAAAACTTGGTTTAAATATAATATCTTAATGGTTAGTGATTTTCTATATTTTTATCACTAATCTATAGTCAAGTATAATAAGTTTTAAATATAGTGGTGCCCAACTTCTTTTTCAAAGTAATACGAGTTATTTAATAACCCGACCCACTCCCAAAATCATTTGAGCTTAAAACACTATAAAAAATAGATAAAATAACAAGTATCATTATCAAAAATTCGAGAAATCTAGTAATCCTTGTAGATTTTACGGCCATATAATTTTTTGAAAAAAGAAAAAAAATTACAGAACATCTATACATATATGGTAAAAGTATGTAAGGGTTCCTCAGGACTCACACTGTATAAATTAAAAAAATTCTTCCCCGTTTTTTGCAAGATCGCTTTTGCTATGCGTCACCATATGATTGGACTATTTCATGGAAATTAAAAATTAGACCTGCTTTGATTTATTAAAAAAATATTGTTATCTAATGTTATTTTCTTTTTTTTTTAAGCTATCTTCACTGTGATGTGCTACAATGTTCTATGTGATAAATACGCTACTAGGCAGATGTACAGTTATTGTCCAAGTTGGGCTCTCAATTGGGATTACAGGAAAAAAGGCATTCTCGAGGAAATCAAACATTACGGCGCCGACATTATCAATCTCCAAGAAGTCGAAATGGAGCAATTTTACAATTACTTCCTGCCGGAACTGAAGATGGACGGCTACAACGGCATCTATTCGCCCAAATCGCGAGCGAAGCACATGGCGGAGAGCGAGAGAAAGTATGTCGACGGATGCGCTATCTTTTATAGGGTTTCCAAGTAAGTCTTATTACTTTCTTTATATAATTTTATATCTTTTTTATTAAACCGTCGCTGATTGCCAATTTTTTGTACCTGAATTATATATTCGCGGAAATGCAATTTCGCAAATTGGCGGATCTATAAAAGGCAAATTTTGGTGACAGAAATAACAGGAAACAGTGACGGCTCCTTGGGGGTAACAGGGTGGGCAGTACTACTCACTCCATACATAGGTATATTCAACTCCAATGTAGGTACATATTTCCTAATTTTTGACTGCAGACTAGGTATATTTTAATATCTATTTATTGTTTAAGATGTTCAGAGTAACACAACCGGTTCACATTACCTACCAAATGTACAATACGCCTACGCCTTAATATGCATTGATAATGTAACGATAGTTTAATTTATTTATAGTTTATTTATTTAAAACACACTATTTACAATTTATTTATTTAAAACACACTATTTACAATTTATTTATTACAATTTATGTGTTCAGACCAATACTTTATTCTAAACTTATCTGCCGTCTTCAAACTCGCGATATTTATATCAAGCCAAATCTGTAACCAGAATACTCTGGGCTTTCTAGACGCTCTCGAATGTCACCCGAAAATTCCATCTCTAGACTCGACGGCCACGTATTGCTTGTTCTGGTATTTTCTCGAGAAGCGGAGCGTTTGTCTCTATACGTCTCAGCGGTGTTTCGATCATGAATCGGTTGTCTGTTCTAGGTCGCGGTAGACTGAATGGTTGTATCTGCAACTGGATCCTCTTTTACAAATTCCAGTTGCATGGAAGTAACAAGGGACAGTCTTCGCTATAACCTGAACACTGGGAGAATGGCTGCAGACCAGTATTTCAACCTGGGTATCTTGGAAGATTACTTCTACCATATTTCTAATGATCCTCCAATTCAGCTGGTTGCTCTCTATCTTTGGCATAGCTAGTTTCTGTACATTGGACTCCAGTACATGCTCCCTCAGACTGAGTAATGCTTTCCATACATCATGATAGGTGGATCGATCTTGGAAGGTGCTCCTTGTTACCAAATAGAAAAGATGAAGCGATCCATCTTGAAGTTTCAATGCTTTTCCAGGGGCTGGTAACTGATCTTGAAGTTCAGGCAGTCGACCAAACTTCTTCCGGAATACAGATGCCAGACCTGGAGCGTCGTAGATGTTGGCGGAAGTGACATGGACCAGCGAGTAATCTTTAGGAACCGTGAACAGGTCTTGTTATTGCTCGGTTGTAACACCATGTCTTGCTTTTCTGGTACCTCCATATGCACCCATTAACTCTTCAAAGACAAGGTCTGGTGATTTTCGGAGCTGGTTTGCTTCTTCTTCCTTGTCAAGGTTACCCTCAAATGGAGCCAGCCGGTTTGGTAAACTACCTTCGTTTTACCGTTCGGGATCTTATGTATACGGTAAATGACATCATTGATTTTTTTCTTGATGAGGTACGGACCTTCCCAAGACCTTTGAAGCTTCGGAGAATAACCCTTTTGTCTTTTTTGGGTTATGGAGCCAGACTTTGTCGCTTTCCATGAAACATCCTTCTGTGGCTTGGGTATCGTATCGCTTCTTCATTCTGTCGCTGGCGATTTGAAAATGCGAGCGGACCAATTCATGCATAACGTCCATTCTTCTTCGTGACTGAATCACATAATCTTCACACCAGCTACATCTTCTCCGATATCAGCGACAATAACAGTATGAGAGAACTTTTCTGTACCAATTCCCAATTGAACCTGGATTTCCCTCATGGCACTTTATTTCACCGACCTTGGCCGGTTCTGTATATTCCAGTTCTTCTATTTGCTTTGCCATCTGTTTTATTTTCTCCTCTACAGAAGACATCTTGTTTTCCACATCAACAGAAATTTCGTCTTTTAAAGAAGATATGTCAGAAGACACCTTTTCTTCTAAGGAAGAAACTTTACTATCTAAGGAAGAAATGCCTAAAGAAACTTTACTTTCTGAGGAGGAAATGTCTGAAGAAACTTTAGTTTCTAATGAGGAAATGTTAGAAGAATTAAACCCTTATTTACTTGGAAGAATTCAGCTCGTATTTTAATTTAGGCTATTGCCTTAGAAAGAGCGAGACGCCTGCTAAATTGAGTGTTGATGATTTGCTCAAGCACGTGTTTTATGAATGAACCAGCTCGTACAACTACGATTCCTGCTTTAAATTGATAAAAACTGGCATTAAGAATGCAAATATACTTCATTAATGTAATTTTAAAAGCTTTTTTGCGTAGTGAGTCTCTTGTTATATAAAACTCCGAATTATAACCATAAACAGTCCTTTTAATAAGACTCTCCCATAATCATTTGGCAAATACGTGGATAACATCGTGAATCCTTACAATTCGGTTTTTATGAACAAAATTTGTCTAGTACCTGATCGTCATTGAAGAAAACATCATTGGGTGAGATTGTCAGGTACCTTGGAATTAAAGATCGTCTTCTTTTTTAAATCTCTTCTTAAAAGATTGGTAATTATAATGGCAATGCGAACTTGAAATACAGCAGGTCTGGAAAGCCGCTTCAACTAATCCCTTTAATTTCTTAACCACCACATACGTCTTCTTTTTCTGGATTTCTGGGTAATGACTTATAACAGATTATACATTTCACTGCAACTTAAATGCTCCAGGTATTGTATTGTAGTTTTATTATTAATTTACTTTCCTGCTTTCATTCTTATTAGTGAAATATAAAACATGTATAGCATTGTAAACTTAAACTTAAAAAATATCAAGACAAGATTGTTTTAAAAGTATATCTGGGGTACTGGGAGTCTCTTTGAATAAGATGTAAAAAAATTATTCTCCATTACCAATAAAAGTAAATTCATTTATGTCTGTCAAAGAAGCAAACACTAATGATAGTCTGGCGTTGAAATGTACAAGGTACCAATACTCGTAATTTTCCGACTACACAAACTTTTCAATAAATTATTGTATTCTCATTCTAACAAATGTCTTGTAATTTTCTTCTAGATTTACATTAGTAAAAGAACATTTAGTAGAATTCAACCAATTAGCTATGGCCAGTGCGGATGGTTTGGAGCATATGTTGAACAGAGTAATGCCCAAAGATAATATAGGGTTAGCGGCCCTTTTACAAACAACAGAGGCAGCCTGGGATAATGGTGAGTACTTAATGCTAAAAAAAAATAATATTTGAAAAATGAATCGATCAATAATTTAACTGGAATCTTAAACATTGAATCAACCTTTTTTTTAAATGATAATCACAAAAAGCACTTTTAGAACATCACTGTTCATTATAACCCAATATTGAATGGTCTTAGACTTGATAATTAATTTGTAATTAACAATATAACAATTAATTAACGACGAAATTTAACTTCCATAACTTTTAGCTCCACAAGACGCTCCTTTTCTCCAACAACCTCTCTTGGTGTGTACCGCCCATATTCATTGGGATCCAGAATTTTGTGACGTCAAACTCATCCAAACGATGATGCTCTCCAACGAACTGAAAACCATCCTTGAAGAATCTGTGAAGACGCTGAAAGCTCATGACATTAACACCGATCCCAGCAACATACAATTAGTTTTGTGCGGAGACTTCAACTCTTTGCCGGATTCCGGAGTCATAGAATTTTTGGGTAAGTTTAATAATTATCACTTTAATACAAAGAAATACTATTTTGCTACTCATCAAATTGTTATACTTATTTCTAAGAGGATTGTTTAGATTAAATTGAACAGGGTGCAAGTTTGGATTTAACAATCTTCTACATTATTGTCTCTTTTCTTCCAATATTATAAAATTTAAAGTTTTAATTATCTACAATGATGATGATACTGGAATTTTTGAGTAACTTTATTAAAAAAATTAAATTTTTAGGAACTGGGAAAGTGTCCCAAGACCACAAGGACTTTAAGGCGCTAGCTTATAAATCGTGTCTGGAGAAGGTACTCAGCTGTGATAAACCGAACGAGTTTACACATTCCTTTAAACTGGCTTCAGCTTACAATGATGAAATAATGCCATTTACCAATTACACGTAAGTTTCAAACTGTGATAAATTTATAATAGGATACTTACTATACAGATTGTTATTGAAATATATGTAGATAATAAAACAGATTAATATTTATACTCTCCTAGAATGTAGAAAAATGTTATTTTGAAAACATACCAATAATTGAAGGAGCAATTACATTTTGAAAATTATGTCGATCATGTACAAAAACTAGGTCACCTAATGTCATCGACTCTGAATACCTGAGTCACACTCTGTTTCATCATCACCATATTCTATTTAGGAACTACTCAACAGCTTTGCAAAAAATAAACAATACCACGATTATGAAAATATGAAGTGAAAGGTTTAACTTGAGAAATTTTTCTATTTTACTGCCGAATAAACTCACAGACACGATAACAAACTACATAAAAATTAAAAATAGTTTTTGAATTGAATTGGTTTGTTATCACCCCTCGGATTCTTTTAAAAGTTCTAACCTCACAGAACGTGACAAAATAACTACTCAAAAGGTCCATATTTATAAAATGTACTTGAACGAAAATCGAACTTTGGGAATAGCTGCTCTAGAGTTCCAGATGGTTTTAGCGTTGCACTGGAATTTAGAAATGGACAACGACAAACTCATAAATGAACAATTTACTTAATTTGAACCGACTGATATGATTTTAGTGTTGATCCACCCTGTATAATATAGTAGTTCAGGAGTTAATCATATTTATTCTTTTTCGGAAATGACTTAGCCAATGGAAAGTAAAACACGCTGGTTTAAAAAACAAAACATTTTATTCACATATTCACTGACTTGGAACATGAAATTTGGAACATTGTATTGGTAATATATAACTTTACTTTTCCATTTAATGCGAGAAGAATAGTCATAAATGTTGAAGCTTAAAAATGAGACGAACAAATAAATCCACCAAATAGTGTGCTTTGCTTGAATAATTAAATAACTGCTTTTTTCTAATTTTTTTTTATACCACGCTTACTCCAAACCCTTCTAGTTTTTTGTTCCATGATGTGATTTACCGTTTCATCTGGCGTGACCCAGACAGCACAAATAGGTCCATTGGACGTCCATTAGATATACAATTTTGGATGTCTAATGGACGTCCAGTGAAGTATACAAATTGCACACTTTTGACCGTTCATAGGATGTCCAATTCTGGATTATATTTGGACGTTCAATACTGGACATTCAAAAAACGTCCATTCCTGGATTATATATATTCTATTGAGACCACATCCCTACTTTTTTTTTCACAACCGCAACTCACCACACACTTTTATAATATTAATTATTTATTATTTTCGCAACTCGCTATATACCATTTATTAATTTTTTTTAATTAAAAATCACTTGACCAGAGCAGGTATCGAACTCACGACACGTCTATTGTCTTTCTGGGCATTTAACCTCTAGGTACGGTTATAATAGAATAAGATTTCAAACTTCCGCTGATAGAATGAAATGTAATAGATTTAATTTCTCAATTTTTAATGACCAATTCTATTAAAAATATAAAAATATATATAGATGGGTATTATCTGCTAGACTAAATAAATAATGACCTAAGATGGACGTCCACTGGACGTCAAAATAATACTAAACTTAAAATTAAGTCCAAAAACAGACGTCCTCTGGACAGCGATATGCAGCTGTCAAATTAATGATCATAAACGGACGTACACTGGATGTCCGAATACGGATATGGCCCTCAAATGGATCTAAAGTGGACGTCCATTATATTATATATATTATATTAAAGAAAGATAGAAACGGCTATGGTTTGCATGTATCGAGTGTTTTTAGCGGGAACTTCGGTTTTTGTCGTGACATATCTGATGTATTTAGTTTGATCTTTGAATATCTCTCATAGTAACAGCTTGTTAAATAATTCGTGTTTTTGTAATATTGAAATATAGCACGTGCTTGGAATTGGTACAGCGCCATACTTAATTTATTTTACGGTTAAAAATGCTTTGTATTTTTAACGTGTATGTTTCTCATAAACGTTGTAACACACCAGCAACAGTTCCGCTGGTACCTTAGATTTGAGATTAGTTTAACAATTAATCGTGCATAATGGTCGGAAAAAGGGGTAATTGACCCATTTTATTTTTTTTTTTAGAACTCAATGACATTCATTTTTGGGCATCCTACACTCTTGTTACTTTTAATATGTGCATGTATTTAAATAATGTCCTGTCGTATATTAACAAAATTAAAAAAAAAGCTTTGTTTTAAGTGTTATGCTTATCGATTAAAATCCGTACCAAATTAAAGTTTAATACAACGAATTTACACTATCGTAGACATCGTTCATCGATCCGTACGAAACTTTACGAGAGAGTTGAAGTAAAGCTATCAACATAAATGTATTCCGTGAAAATTGACAACTTCACAAGCTTATTTAAATATCCTACGTCCTAAGTAACAAAATAACCTATTTTTTAATTAGAAAAGGAGAAAACCTAATATTTATTGTCTGTCATGCCACGTAAATGTCAGGATGCCTTTAACAACTTCAAGTCATATTTTGGGCTTCAACGTGAATATTATTGTACTGAAAACACTTCAACTGTCTAATGTTGTAGATCAATATTTTGTAAATTAAAAACGCTCTTTTCATTTTAGATTTGACTTCAAGGGCATTATTGACTACATATTCTACGCCAAACAAACAATGACACCTCTGGGTTTATTGGGTCCTCTCTCCCAGGAATGGTTGCAACAGAACAAAGTTATAGGTTGTCCGCATCCTCACATCTACTCTGACCATTTCCCGTTGCTGGTCGAGCTGGAAATGGTACCCACCATTACATCGGCAATGAACGGGTTGATTGGTCATAGGTGAGTTGTTAATTCGTATTTTTTTAGTATTATTAATTGATAATGATAACAGAAAGTTTTAATATCTCCTCATAATGTACACTTTAACTAATTTATTTGCTTTTCTTGCTTACCTTATAACGCTTTTTAACACTATGCTATTTTTGTATTTTTAATTAATTTGTAATATTTTAAAGGTAATTAAATAAAACTCATTTATATTTGACATTTAGATTATTTCCGCTTGCCTACCTATAAACTTACATATTTTGTTTTAATTTTGTTTTTAGCCTGTTCAGGAATCGAACGAAATATTATTACCACCCTCCGGAGTATCCGAATTCAATGTATTTTCAATCGTATTTTTACTGAAAATATGATTATTCCAAATTTAATTATAAATAAAGGTTCGTAAATATGGGATGGGAAAAATGGGCTTCGGGATTTATGTTCGTGTGCTCCTGTTTTTTTTCTGGTACCATGTTTTGTATAAGGGGAATTTAATCCTACAAACGAATGTTTTCATACCTTAAATATTGCTACAAAAAAAGTTTTCTTTAAGAATGGTGTTTTTTATTTAACTATTTAACTATTTAACTATAAGATACTTGAATCGCGATTAATAACGACCCAGCAGGAAGTTAACTACATATAAGTTAAGAATAAAATCTTCCAAATTTGGATGAAAATATCAATAAACTATATTTTATTAAAACCTGTAACTAAGGATTATATTGATTAAACAATATAATTATTTATTCCCTGCAATGTTTGTATATTTTTGTTTTTGTTTTTAATGTTTAAAAAATATAGTGTTTCTCTTACTTTTCTTTTTCATTTTAAATGTTTATATTTCTGTAATGTTCGTATTAATTCCAGTCTAACTTAAGATCCAAAAATTTAAAAGTGATTATCTCCCTAGACAAAATATCAGCGACTAGACAATATTTGGTCTAGTGAAATAGTCGTCCCAAATATAACACGACCTTGATTAATATTCTGCTATTTTTGTTGTTGCTAAATTTCTCGAACATTCTACAATTTGATTCTACATAATTTTAGCGTTAATAATCAATTGATTAAAGCTCTCGGGCTCTAATCAGAATATTAATGCCAAAAATTATGTCTCATCAAATTGATATTAAAATATTCTCGAGATTTAGATTCAACAAAAATAGCTGACTATTATCATGGTCTTGGTATATTACCATTGAACATTTTCAGAAAAAATTATTGAGTATTCACCACTATGATTCAATAATTTTAATCAACTTGATTGGATAAATTGTGGGATGTCTTTTATGTTGTTGGTTTTATTTCAATTTTATTAACTTTAATCTATATAATAATTTTTTATTAAATGAATAATGGGAACTAACCTACTAAATATTTTAATGATTTAGAAAATGTAATTTAGTTTTTACTATGGGTGCTGTGCTTGGCAACTTTGCTTCAATATAATTCTTATTATTGCTGTTTGTTGAATGGGCTCGTTCTCTGTCATTTTCGAATTTGATTTAATCATATACAGGGTGTTAGTATCTTCAACCAACAACGCTCTACTCCAGATAGTTCTCATTAATTGATGAATTTTGATATAAGACTTAGGGTTTAGTTACCGTGATACAGGATGTTAAAAGTTTGAAATTAAAATTCAAAATCAAAAACGCCTTTAAATATTTTTTTCAAATTTGGTGACCAATATGCTCTAAGAACGTATTATATTGACGATAACTAACTTTTAAAATTTTTTGCCAGTTGCGCACTAGCAGGTTTAGTGACAACTTTTTCCTCCTATTTTTTACGCCACTGAACCAAATTCTCTGTTAGTTTTTAGTTAAAAATGTAATAACCTTTTATGCAGCTAAACGGTGTTGCAAAAATTTACTTCTAAACAAAAGTCTACATGTACTTAGATATTTGTAATTTCTCAATATTTTTAAATTCTAATCTAGTAGTCTCGTGTCAAATTTTTAATGGTATATGACAAAATCTTGGTAGATCAAATTTGACAAAAATATTTAAGGTCGTTTTCGAGTTATGGCAAATTTTGAATTTAAACTTTTGTCGCCCTGTATCCCGGTAACTTAAGCTCTTTAAGGTTTTTTATGCTCCTATATCAAAATTCATCAATTAATGAGATCTCTCTGGGCTAAAGCGTCAGTCAAATATACTAACACCCTGTATTTATAAAGACATTAACCTATTTTGTCTTATGGTTAAGATATATTACCTCTCCTATCGGTTAATGGCTAAAAGGGTCGCTTTTGTCGGATGTATCATAATATACTTTTTTGCATTCGAATATGTAATTTTACATAGTAAAAAATCATATTTAAATCTGAGAGATGCTATTGCATATTTTAAATTTTACTACATATATGATTGTTATTACTTAAACTGAATATTACCAAACCGTAATTTTGATACTAAATATATTTTCTGGTAAACGTGGCAACATTGCATGCATGTATTTCTAAAACCGTCATCAACTTACGAAACTGCTACACTATGAATTTAAACAAACATACAACGTTGCCACGTTTACCATATAAAATTACGAATTACGGTCTAGTAATATTAATCATGAGTAATAATAATAATAATTATATACAGTGTGCGCCATAAAACTGGATCCATATGGTATTTTTTTAAATATTTCGATTAGAAAAAACGTCGTAGGGCTTATTTAAAAACTTAAAGTAGCCCATAACAAAGTTGACATTAGTTTTCTGTAAAATACGCATTTACAAAACAATTTTTTGTACGATTTTTCAAAAAAATACCGAATTTGACAGATAACTAATGCAGTATCTAGCCAACTTTAATATGGCATTTTAAAAAAGCAGAAGTGAATGCCTTACCACGTTTTTTTCCAATTGTAATATGGAAAAAAATCCCGTATGGATCCAACTTTATGGAACACACTGTATAATTTACTGCAATTTAAAAAAGGTAATATACCCAGCTTTGGATATTAAAATATTAATATACAATTCTAAAAAAATTACATTTTCTCATATAAATTGAATATCTAAATGCAGAAAAGGTATGATGTTATGAATCATCAAAACAAAAGTTTAATATATTTGTGGATGTATAATTATTAAAATGAAAGTGAACGGGCCCATTGTAGATAAGAATGAAATTCACTTCTATAATAGATAATTTTATAGTGATTGTAACAATTTACTAAAAACATAATTTTTGACTGTTCAACAAGTAAAAGTTGTCAAGTTTGCAATTTAGCATGTTCACACTAACAAGTTATTGGGTTGTTAAACATAAAATATAATGGTTTAATATTAGGTAACAGTGTTAACCAAATAAAAATCTTAAATAACCCTCGTAATTAGTTCCAAATGTAATAAATAATATGACTGTTTCAAGAAATCATACAAATTCATTATCGTATACAAACAAATACATCACCAACAAACAAATACATCATCCACAAACTTTGAGAAAACACCGAGGGGTAAACCGCTGGAAAATGTTTGTACACAATATAAAAAAGTAGTACGCAAATAGTACACAAATAGTACGCAAATAGTACGCAAATAGTACTAAAATAGTACACAAATAGTACGCAATTAGTACGGAAATAGTACGGAAATAGTACGAAAATAGTACATAAAGTACACAAATGGTATATTAACTACACAAATAATACATGAAATATACAAATAGTACACAAAATATACAAATCGTACACATAGTACGGCTTGCTTGTACACCATACTACATCACTGGTTTACCCCTCGGAATACACCAATAATATATGTATTTTGATTTTTTTATTGTAAACAAGTTCAAAGATAAACTAAATCCGCCAGCTCCATCAGTGTAAATAGTTGATGACGCCATTTAAAGGTGTATCATTTTATTGGCTAGAGTAGGTCAATGTTTTGGGATGTAGTTGTTTATCTTTATTTATCTCCTGGGTATAGACATTATATTTTGTTATTTTTGGGTTTTACCATGATTTTATACTCCGTTTTTTGTGTATTTGATCTCGGTGTGGCTCAGGAAATTTGAGTCATTTCACTCTTTTAATATTAATTCATATTTATTGGAGGTGGAGGTTATGTGCTATGATACTTCATCTTTTACGATTTTACACTGTGTTGTCAAATTACCTCCTCTGAAAAAACCTCTGAACTAAAGAAATTTATGATCACAGCTTATAAACTAATAAAATGTCATTAGTGTATTATAGACGCACTAAATTAGCACTAAGAATGGCATCTAGGAGAAATAATTTATAAAGTTTTTAAAATTTGGATACACACTCTCAATAGACGTCTAAATATAGATCAAAAGAGTTCCCACCTCTCAGGAGTGTGCTTCATCCCCTTTAGCTTAAGAAACCACCCTCCAAGGTGACCTGCTAGTTTTTTAATTTTTCTCGAAAATTGTTACCCTGCGAGGAAAATGAATAGGACTTAAATTATTCACTATAAAATTCTACATCATTTGTCATATAAATTTTTTTTCCTATATCGACCAATAATCTAACAAATGGCGTTTAAGTTTGCTTAATGCTGGTATGATCCAGTCATTGAGAAAGTTAAACTTCACCTGTCATTCCATATTATTTTTTTGCGATAGCCTGGCAAAACCGCTCAGTTACGGTTAGATTATTATAAATTGGTCACATTTGCAATGCATTTCATTCAAACTGAACTGATAGAAAATTGGGAACTTAATCTAGATTGTGTAAGAGCTATGTTGTCCATTTTATTACGCAAGTGGGCATTTTCCTTACGCTAAGTCATGTCAACTATATCTTCATGATATGGTCGTCCTGGAACAGAAGATAACATCCATAAAATATGACCATTTTACAAGAGATAGTTTTTTTTACAATTAGACGATCTGAACAGTATTGGTGTGGAATATGGTCAGATATCACCATGGAGCAAACGTTCATGAAAAATATGAAGAGCGATGGCGGCATTACCCATGGAAGAGGGAAGAGGTGTAAGGGAAAACGTGTTAAACATATGGATTTACGGATTATCTACGGCCCATCACGTGTGTGATGATGATGATATGGAAAAATTTTACGGAATCAAAATCTACAGCATTTACGAACACATTGAACTACGAGATGCAAGAATTAAAATTAAAAAGGATGAAGATGGTAACAAATTTACGCTATGGCTGAGACAGTATTCTCCATCTATAATATCAGATAATTTAATTTCTTTATCAAGTGAACTTGTAGCAGATGATTCAGTAAATTGCTATAAATCAAGAGAAATTAGCGAGAAATCCTTGGATAAATTACTTACCGACAATGTAACATTTGGATGATTTAAATTAAAACAAGCAGATATATCTACAGCCAACAATTCAGTGACAATAAAAGAAGAAGTAATTCCAATTGACACTACACACTTACTGCAATGAATACTTTGTACCGTACACCCAAAGAGTTGTTGTGTTTTATGCATTAACTTTCGACGGTACCCCTTTCACATTTTCAACCCTTTTACAGAACGTCCTATTAATAGAGTGATTTGGCCGAAACATGGTACATTTGCAAACATCTACAGAGCTTATATTACATTCATTAAAACGAGTAATCGTAGTATTTGATGTTTATTCTGGAAATATGGATAGTACAAAAGGCATTGAACGACAACAATTGTAAAACGAATATCTGCTGAAATACGCACAGATGCCTATGCCTGATTCACAAAACAATTTACTGATGAATCTGGCGAATAAATACCATTTAATTAATCAACTGATGGAGAAATTGGAATGTGCCGGTATTCAAGCTCTTTCTGCCACAGATGATGCTGATACTCTAATTGTCCAAATTGTTATTAAGGATGTCTATAATAGTCACACGGTAGTTATCGTGAGACAAGATGTTATCCTTCTTATTCTAATACTTGCTCTTTGTCCTCTGGATAAAGATATTCGATTTTTAGGAGATGCATCAAGAAAATGGCATATAGTTCTCTTAACTTACAGAATTCGGAAGTCCTTCATAACTGTAATATATTATTTGCCCATGCATTCGGTGGATGTGATACTATATCGGCATTTTTTGGCAAAGGAAAAGCATAAACAGTAACCTTGGTTAATACTAGAAGGGATTTGGACGATTGGCCAATCTAATCAAGCAGTGCTATTATCAAGACTACCACCTACATCTGCTCTTTTAGAATTTCAGTGTTAGAGGAAAAATTACTTGAAGATCAATTATTGAATAAACTGTAATTAGTTTTTAGTGGATTAGACCACTTAAAAAAACGGGCTCGAATATTAAAGACATTGTATTATCTAAAAAAAATCCTGTAATCATTAAGTACAATGGATTGTTCCAAGGCAGCGAACAGCAGAGACTCGAACGACGCTATTAAGATTTTGTACCTATTTACGATCTTCTTGTTGTAATCAATTATAACCATAGACATTTTAGGAACTTTGTCTTTTTTATTCGCTCAGTGCGAAGTCATGGTAGGGGAAGCAAAAGCGATACTAGCGCAAGCTATGGATAATTCGAGCACTTTAGGGCGATATTTTGTAATTTTTGTAATAAATAGGTAAAAACAATACAATGAGCAACCGGAGTTGCTGTGTTATATAAATTTTCAGTAGCAAAATGGAAATTAAATCAAAGCTTTAAATGGTTAGCTGTACCTACAATAAGAAGAACAAAAGTACCTTTACTTTTGTAATAATACCAGTATTACTGGAAATAGTAGATATCAGAAAGTAGAAAGGTTTTAAATAAACAATTTTATGATGTTCTTCAACCTCCCTTAAATCTTAAATGTTCGGCAAGGACTAGATTTCTGCCTTTGATTATTGTATGTGGCTGGAATACAATTTTGTGACTTACTGATAGGAAACCAGTTTTAACAATAATTTTTATTATATATTTTAACGTCACGCTATCATTGAATAGTATTTTTTTATTTTGACAGAATAGGTTAATTCTTCAAAGATTACTTATTAGGCCATAGGGTATGAGTGACTCAGTGGTTAGAGTCTGGTCTTGCGAATCCAAGGGTCCGCGGATCGAATCACACCATTGACCGAGGTTTCTTTATTTAATTTAATTTAATTATTTAAAAATAATTTTGATGTCTAGGTAGGATTCCCCACTACGATCATTTACTCTGTTGGGTTCCAATTAACAGTACTGTTCCTGAAGCGGCACTGGAAACAGTAACAAACCTACACAGAACACACATGAATAAGAAATCAAACTCAAACTGAGACTGGCATATTAGGTATATACACCTAGGCCCTAAAATAAAAAAGGAACTTATTGGAATTGGAAAATACTATTGTCTGCCTATGTTTTATTATTGATTTTTATTGATTATACTTACTTTTTTTAGTTGACGCGATAAAAATATAATAATAATAATAAATTAATGTTTTCACTTGTTTTACAAATCCATACACTTTTTAAATACGAATTCTATTTAAACTTTTTTTGTCAGTGTACCCAAAAATCGTCCATTAGTACATAAATGAATTGGCACTCCTGTCACGCACGGACCGAATACCAGCATTAAGTAAACTTAATCGTCATTTGTAAGATTAGGGGTCGATATTGGAAAAAAATGTATAGGACATAAATTATGTATAATTTTATAGCGAATAATTTAAGTCTCATCCATTTTCCTCGCCAGGGTAACAGTTTTAGAGAAAAATTAACAAAAACTTGCAGGAGGTCAGTTTCGAGGGTGGTTTCTTAAGCTAAAGGGGATGAAGCACCCTCTTGAGAGGTGGGGCATTTTTAATCTATATTTAGACATCCATTGAGAGTCCGTACCCAAATTTTTAAAACTTTATTATATAAATTATTTCCCTTGAAAAAACGAATTTACTGTGATTATTAAATTGACTGAAAATTTAAATGCATTGGCTTATAATGTTATTCTTTTTAAATAATTACTTTTAATCCAATTTTGCATATAAATGGATAGATATGAATGTTTGAAATGATGCTGTAGTCATATTAGAATAAAAATGTTAGTGATTTAAATTCATAAATATTTAAAAAATATTCTCACAATGCGTGCGCTTTGAATAAAAGGAAAAGGCGGTGACTGATAAAAAAAGTTTGTAGGTCATTGATTTTTATTACATTGAATATTGAAGTTTTGCCAATCTGAAAACTAGTTTCTAGCCAGAGAATTCTTTCTTGTTTAGACAAATTTTGCTCATAATTTTTATAATGTACATAGGTTTTAGAAGAAAATAGCTCGTCCAAAAATATGAAAAAACATTTCTATTAACTTACCTTCTAAAATGCACCATTTTCGAGATACAGGGTGTTGAAATTGAAAAAACAATTTCTACGCCACTGGAAAAAGTACGGTTTTGAGACGCCTATTTAAACCGCCAATGTTTTCTACACAAAAAAGGTACTTTTGGTCATACGCTCTAAAGTCGACCGTTTTCGAGAAAAAACAAATTTTAATGTTGAAATACATGGTCAATTTTTGGAAATAAAACAAAATTTGATTTTTCTCGAAAACGGTCGACTTTAGAGCGTATGACCAAGAGTACCTTTTTTGTGTAGAAAACATTGGCGGTTCAAATGGGCGTCTCAAAACCGTACTTTTTCCAGTGGCGTAGAATTTTTTTTTTTTTAATTTCAACACCCTGTATCTCGAAAATGGTGCATTTTAGAAGGTAAGTTAATAGAAACGTTTTTTCATATTTTTGGACGAGCTATCACGTTCTGAAGTCCTGCGCATATATTATGAAACACCCTGTATTTATTGTGCACTCCCAAAAGGATTTTGACCAGAGTCTTTCGCCCATATTTACATGTATAAAAATTTAATAATTAACAATAATAATAAAAAAAATAAAGTTAATTTTATTATCTCTCGTTGGATGGATTCAAAAATACTAAGCTGAGGATATTGACGTCTTCTAGTAAACTGGATGGAAGTTGTTAATGCTTGTCTATTAATAATGTTAATATTAATTGATTTAATGACAAATTTCTGACCGAGCTGTTGGAACCTTTCTGTTACAGGTTCCAATTGTGTTTTCTCGCATAAAAGTCTATTTGGAGGGTAATGCAGTAGATTATCAGGATGTCTCATTTTAGTAATGGTTCTTAATATTATTAAAGGTGTTTCTTCTGCTTGTTTGGAATAAGACACAAGCATAGTATATCTTTATGGCGATTTTAATATCTATGCCTTGGTTCTTATATGTCAATCCTCATAAATTTTTTTGGTGCCTCGGGTAACTACTTTGGTTTGATGGTTGTACAGTGTTTTTTAAGTTTAATTTGTTGTCTATTATTATTATGTTTAATATAGCGGATTCGACTGGCTGCATTAATTCGCACTTAGTTCGACTTTTTTAAGAAGTGATGTTTGTTCGATTTTCAGAACATAATTAATTCAAAGTAAACTATTGCATTCGACTGGAATTACTAGGTACCAGAGCATAGTGAATTTTTTGTTTGACTGGTAGGCGCTCTTGCTCAAAGTTTAGATTTTTTGAAACTGTACTTTTTTGTCGTTTTGTCAAATATATTACCATCTTCGCCTTTATTTTTGTGAGAACGGAAAATCTTTGAATTTAATAGAGATTTAATTTTTTGTTTGGCAACTATAAATAAATATCGTTAAAATTATGTAAGAAACTAGAAATGTCAAGTGCTAACTGTGCCAGTCGAATAACGAAAAAGAAGCGCTAACTAATTTTGAACACTAGCTCGCGCTTGCTACTTGTAGTTTTAAAGATTTGAATAATAAAAATGCTGCCTAAAATCAATTCAGAACTAAAAGCGCTTTGTCACCGCAAGATCATTTGAGCCGAATCGTGATTTGACCGAAACATTTGAAATTGTAACTGATGATGAATAATCTTTGACGATATGATTGAATAAGATTAGTAGACACTTTTTAGGGTTGCATATTAGCCTCCATTGGTTTAGCCACATTTCAAGATTTTCTATGTAAGATTACATGTTGTTTACTGCACTATATAGCCAATCTATGATCGTGTACTGTACAACTATTGAAGTATCACTAGTATATTGGACAAGGCAGCTATCACCCTTATAAGTATTTGTGTTATCATATCAATAAATGTTCTATGAAAATTGTGAAAGTGATGAACCTTGGGGAACTCCTTGGGAACAAGTTTCATGTATGTAATTTTTAGTTAATTGATTGAAAACGTTAGGCATTTTGAAATTAATAATTTTTGTTATTGTAATTTAGATTTGTTTATAAAAAATAATTATTGAATGCTTCGTTGATAATGCTTTATTATAATTCTTCTTCTGTATTTTATATGGCTTCTATTAGGAA